CCAGCAGCTCTGCAGGGGTGGTCTCACCTGAGGGGGCAGAATTCTCCCCTCCCCTGCTGCCCACGCTGTGGGATCAGCCCGGGGCACAGGGTTGGATCATGTCCAGCCTCTCCCCAGGGGTGTTCCATCAGCTCATCCCCAGCCTGGATTGAGCCCAGGGGTTGCCCTGACCCAGGTGCAGCACCAGCACTTGGTCTCGTTAAATCACATGGGATTCCTGTGGGTAAGGAATACACAGGTGGCACGAGCCAGTTCTGGCCTCCCAGGGCAGTGCTTTACCCATCCCAGCTCAGGGGTGCAGCTGGGGAACCCTAGAAGGGGTGATCTCCTGTGTCCTGAGGGTGATCCAGAGCGGGCTGTGTTGAATAACACACACTCACCTCCTCGAGTCGTTGGAGAAGGAGAAGGAATGTACACCAGCAGTGTGGCCCTTCAACTCAAAGGCCCTGGTCACCTCCCGGAATTCTCCATTCTTGCCAAAACACACCTCCCACACCTTCACATCAGGGGTAAAGCCACAGGATGCCACAAACCTGTGTGAAGGAACAAGCAGAGACAGGGGGTACCTGTTACAGAGCACCTGAGCAAGGCAGGGCCAATGCTCTGCAAACCTGTCCTGACTCTTCCACTCAAATCTTTGGTCAGCTGGGAAAGTTTTCCCTTTTCCCTGAAACCCTGCTGGTAAAAGAATGCTAAGGAAGAGCACCAGAACAACTCAGGAATGAGAAATTCTCAGGCTAAAGTAAATGAGTTCAATGCTTATGATCCCCAAACTCCCTGAGCCTGGAGTTGAGCAAGGCAAGTCATCCTGCAGCAATAGGTTAAAGACAGAGCAGAGAACAAGATTTTCCTGATAAACAGATCTCCCAGAAATAAAGACTTTAGCTTTATAATTAACCTTTAAGAGCTTACAAACAAGTTCAAAATGCTGTTTGATTTGCATAGGCCGTTTGCTCTGTCCCATCTCTGCTACCTGAGGCCAAGGCTGTTCTCAGGTTACCAGAACAGCAGCGCTGAGACACAACGGTAACACTGCGTCTGAGCCTACATCAGCTCCACCCTCCCAGAGGGAAAAAGCCCGTTTTAAAACTGTGGAACCCTCAGAAAAACTGCATTACAACAACAACAACCAACTGCTGATGGTCTGCACTGATGATGTCCTGTGGGAAGGAGCGAGGTTCCCAGCTGCTCCTGCAGCGGGAACAGCCCGGAATCCCTCCTGTCCCTCACCTCCCACAGGGTGACACCGTGGCATAGGCATTGTTCATCTGGTTGGTGTTAATGCTGGCCAGGACTTCTCCCTTCGGACTCCAGATCAGGATGGTGGTGTCACTGGAAGCTGTCATGATAAACTTCCCTGGGGGAAAAAGGCAAAGATCAGGAGAGGCGCCAGACCTAACATGGCCAGAGACTCATTAAAGCCCCAGCACAGCCTCTCCCTGCAGCTGGAGAGAACCAAAAGCAGCACCAAAATCCAAGGAGGGTCAATCAGAAGACTCAGCTCCTGGTTATGCCTTAGTGCTCCCTTGGCTTTTGGGTGGGCGGCAGGCACTGGGCCCACACGTGCCCTTCACTCAGCACCCTCAGCCCCTGCAGAGACCAGCACATGCTGTGCCACAGCAGGAACACAGCACATTCCACCTGCCCTGTGTGCCTAAAACCAGCTCAAGGATCAGCCATGGACTGTGGGCAGGCAGCTGAATCCCAGTCACATCCATGGTTACTGGTTGTGTCCGTGTTGGACTCCTGCTTGTTCCCACTTCCCCACTGCCACATCAGTCCCAGCAGGGAGTTGCCTATTTACCTTTCAGCTACTTGTTGCAGGTTTAAGTTTTCACTTTCAGTGCTGAACAAAGGTCTCGGTTAACATTTTCCCTGCTCTCCTGTTACAGAGGTGAACTCAAATCCACCTGCTGTCACATACCTGACGCATCAAGCCCTCACTAGTAACACAGAATTCCCACCCACCCACCTCCACCTCTATTCTAGGTGATCCCAGAAGTTCAAGATAGACCATAAGAACTCACTAGAGAGATTTCTGACTGGTTAAAGAGAGACTGGCAGGCCAGAGAACAGCGATCCTCTCAATATTGAGACCAGACCTCTTTGCAACAGCATCCCTGAAAATGTAAATTAAGAGACTGTGCATATCGGGGAGCTGGTTACAGGGACAGAATGGGTCTGAAAATGACACCTTTTGGTTCACTCAGGAGTAAATTAAGTAAAAAAAAAAAAACCTAAGAGAGTCAAGTTCTCGTGCTGAGCACAGCCTTGAGAATGCCAAAAACTTCAACACTTTGAACCTGGCAGCTTCAAAAGGAAATCAAAGCCAACCTGGATAGGTGAGCAGGTCGTTTCCATACCTGTCTCTGCAATCCCTATGTTAATGACAGGAGCTTTGTGCTTCTTTGGGAAGTCCCCAGAACTTGCAGTGAAGGTGAAGCTCCCGTCGTCCTTCTTGGTCATCTTGTAGACACGAATAGTCTCGGCATTTGCCAGCCAGACAATGAATGCCCTGTGGAGGGACAGGTCCTGAGCCCCAGCTCAGCCCAGGTCACTCAGGGCCACCTGGGGAGAGGGATACACTGGCAGGTAAAAAGCTTCACAAGGGCACCAAGGACAGAATTTATTACACCTGGAAATGAGATGCCTTCCTCTGTCTAAAAGAGGTCACTTCACAAAGAGCCAAGACACATTTTCCCACCAAATTTCCCACCCAGCAAGAGCTCCTGAGCCCACCGGAGAGGCTCAGCAACACATCCCAGCTGGCAGAGACCTCAGTGGCATTTCCATAGTCATGCTGGGCACTGGGATATTTGCCCCGAGAACCACATTAACCACCATGAGGGGTTGGACTGCACGATCTCCAGAGGTCCCTTCCAACCCTGACTGTTGTGGTTCTGTGGTTCCGTGCCAGCTGCCTTCTGGAAAGGCCGCGGGTCAGTGGTTACAGTGACGACCCAGTGATGAACGCCACCTCCGCGCATCCCAGGGCTCACACCACTGATCCCAGCGAGGCCCGGCTGTGCGATCGGTGCCTCCGCAGGACACCGCGGTGTCGGCAGGAGGCCCCTCCGTACCGTGAGTCGGGGCTGAGGCGGACGAGCTCGGCGTGGTCCAGCCCCACGTTGGCGCGCAGGCAGCGGTGCTCCCGCCCCGCCAGGTCCCGGGTGCTCCACAGCCGCACCGTGCGGTCCTCGGAGCACGACGCCAGGTACTTGCCATTGCTGCTGAAGTCCAGGCAGGTCACCGGGCTGCTGTGGCCCTGCGGAGAGAGCGCGGTCACGGCGGGAGGAGGTGGGACATCGGCACCAGTGGGATACCGGCACCGGGAAGGACACAGGCACCGGGCACACGGCACTGGCGGGACACCGGCAGGACACCAGGGGGACAGCGGCACCGGGAGGGACAGCGGCACCGGGCACACACAGTGGCAGGACACCGGCGGGGACACCACCGGGACAGCGGCCCGGCGACACGCGGTACCTTGAGGGTGGCGACCAGCAGCCGGTGTGTGAAGCTGTGCTGCTGCTGCTGCTGCTTCTCCCTGCGAGGCCTCGCCTTCGCCTTCCGCGGCTCCTCCGGCCTGGCGTGCCCGTTGGCCCTGGGCCCTGCGGGAGCGGAGCGGCCGGATCGGATCGGGTCGGGTCGGGTCGGGTCAGCTCTGCTCTGCTCCTCCCCGCTGTCCGCCCCGGTACTCACCGTCCGGCGGGGCGGCGGGGGCTGCGCGGGGGGCGGCGCGGCGCAGCGCGGCCGCCAGCAGCAGGGCGAGGACGGTGATGACGAGGAGGACGAGGAGGGCGCCCGGCAGCCCCGGCCCGCCCGGGGGCACCGCCGTCCCCTCCATGTCCCCAGCGCCGGTGCCGCGTCAGCCACAGCACCGGGGGAAGGGCCCGCGCCTGCGCATGCGCGGCCCTGCAGCTCCGCCCCGGGCGGCCCCTGCCGGGGGGGGCCGGTACTGCAGCCCCGGCCCCCCCGGTGTCACCCCCCCGGTGTCACCCCCCGGTGTCACACAACGCTGTGACCCAGCTCTGTCACCTCCCGATGTCACCCCAGCGCTGTCACCGCCAACGCTGTCACCCCCTACCCTGCCCCGCCACCCCCCCGGCTGTGACCCCCCTACCGAGCCCCGGCCACCCCAAGACCCCTCGGTTGTCACCTCAATCCCTACCTCGGTCCCCCGACAACGGCCACCCCACTTCCCCAGCTTCTGCCTGCACACT